TTTTCATGTGACCATATTATTATTTTTTTTATATGAAAGAATCCATTTCCATGTATAATTAGCCCATTAGTCTAAGCTATTTCTGTTATATCTTTTAGTTTTAAGTCATATAAAAAAAGGGCAATGTTTTTCTTATGCTATTGGAGAGGAGGAAATTTTCTACACACTCAAATTTATGGTGGGGTCCACACATAAAAAATAAAGAAAACAAAAAAAATTATTGCACGCAAAACGAACTCTCACTAACATGAGAAGAGAGCTCTCCTACAACATAAGAATTCTTTTTCCCATTAAAAAAAAGGAACATGATTCGTTTACAAACTTTTTTGAATTTTTTTACAATTTACACTGTATTCTCCCGGGAGAACATAGTGTAGTTTGTAAAAGTTTGTATTCTCCCGGGAGAATATAGTGTAGTTTGTAAGATTTTATAAACAAAAAAGTTTATAAATATAACCTGAAAAAAAAAAAAGTATATAAAAACTACTTAGTTCCTAGCTAGCTACATTTTTGTTATGCAATGCTTGCCAAGCCCACTAAGGAAAGTTTGGGCACATAGTGGGGGCATAATACATACCTATGCACCGGCTAAAGCACGATCTGGGCAATTTTCCATCAACGGCCAATTCATCAAAGAGCTTCTCCACCTGAGACCAACCTTCAGTTCCAATGTTTTTTATCATGAACTTCAGTTCAAGACGGCTGGCCAGCAGCGCCGTCTTGGAGTCACCGCCGCGAATGTTTTGGACAGGTACGGTATCATCACGGAGGTCCAACGTTATCTCAACGAAGTCATCCTCGTCCTTGTAAGACTCTGTCTCCGACCTTGTTTCCTCTTGGTTTTCCTGAATCTCCATCACTAATTCTCTAACCTTTGTTTCTAATATATATATATATATATATATATATATATATATATATATATATATATATATATATATATATATATATCACTCCAGATTGGCGCTTATGATCAAGCAATTGAAAAACATTATATATGCCTTATTGACGGTTATAATCACCCACGGGATTTCCAGGGAATTGAAGGGGTTGTTGAAGTTGTGCGCTTGAGAAATTGAGGTGGGAAAAAGAAATAGTATTTATGAACTTATAGACAGAGAGAGGAAGTTGTGAGTGGTCCACTGGGTAAGGTTGAGATGAAATAATAAGAGCGTGTGAGATGTGAGGACAAACAAAAAATGGACTATTAATCAAAGGGGCGCACGTGGCTGTTTTGCCTTTGGGCGCGTTAGTTGACGGAGGCATATAGTTGTTGGGATTCAAAGCCTTCTAGTTGGTTGTTCAAACCACCGCATAAAGAAAGAACCACCATAGTTTTGTTCTTACATTAATAAGAGTCCAATATGCTTCCTTTGGCTCTTATTCACAAACAAAAAAAGCAGCACTATTTCATGAATTGTAGTAATATAAGATTGACTTAGAATCGTATTATATGTATAAGGTCATGAATTGCCACCCTATCATGATGTCAACACACCGTTAACAAAATCAATTCATGCTGCTTTGGCCAAGTTGTTAAGTACACCCTTATTTAATTGTTTCCTGACCGACAGTACAGGTCAATAACGCACAAAAATAATAGTGATTTTTGTGTTGTGCCTTCTCTGCAAACTTTATACTACTTTGTACTGCAAGTATATTTACATATAGTACGTGGTTTTATATAATTGATAAGGAATACGTTTAGAAATCAAATTTAGATTTTGCCGCCTCATCTTTGATCCACCGCCAAGTTAAAATCATGTGTTATATTCCATCGACATCGACATAGGGCATGATACGACACTCTGATACGTTAATTGTAAAAAATATTAGATTTTGACATATTAGGACACATATTGATATTAAATAATATTTTAATTTATGTAGTGCATATTATATTTAATATTCAATAATTTAACAGAAAAATGAAGTTAAACTTATAATACTCATCAATTTCGCAAAGAAACAAAAGATATCCCAAATATTAATATTCAACTCAATAAAATGGTACTCGTAATCCACCGAATCAAATAGTTGGAACTAAAAAAACAACGCAACGCAATCTTTGAACCCTTTTTTGAGTCTCTGCAACGCGTGTTGAAGTGTCTAACACGACACGTCAGAGTTTTTGAAGTGTCGGTGCTTCATAGATTAATTGGTAGCCTCTACTAGCTAATGAGTTGTCAATCAAATGGATAAAGTAGACAAAGTCGAAAATTGGAATTTGAGGCTACGAAGAAAGTAGAAACCAAAGGCTTCACACAAATGTCGACATAGATGAGTTGGTTAAATAAATAAAATAATATATGTAGCAAAAGTGAGTCGATTATATATATATATATATATATATATATATATATATATATATATCGGTTCTCTCGTAGTCTATCGAGAAAAATGCATTAGTTCCCAAGATTATGACTTTTGGTCCTTTTTACAATCAGTCAAGGGAAACAAATTCCTTCCCTAGAATGAAAATCACTTAGCGCAAGTTCCCGCGTCAAGTAATAAAAGGGAACGTTTAAGTCCCAGATTATCATACCCACAGAGAAAGTATTGTTAACTGATATTTTAAGCTATATTGAAGAATGAAAATAATAAGTTAATAGTTTGAACTGTTTTGGTCGACGTTCCCAAGTATCCCAAGGGTGTTCCCTTGTGACAAATGGTTCAGTTTAACTTCAAACAATTCCTTGCATCGTTATACACTCAAGTCATTCCTAATACATGAGGAGCGACAGATCATAGGAATTAATTAATGTGGTATTGTGTGATGTGAAATGAAAATAAAATGCATAAAGATAAAATGAGCAATGGCAAGGAAAAACACGGGTGGTTTTGAGAAATGGAACGACAATTAAAGAAAAGAAATAGATACATTAATCCACTGTTAAACCAACTGTAATCTAGGCTCAAGACCTTGTCAAAGGATTTGTCCAGGTCTATTTAATGTCAACTCTGATTCGTCAGCTCATAGGCTAAATGGTATACGAAGCCTCATATTCCTATGGCGACTACGTTCCCAATGTTGACTCAGCACATGACCTTTAATGAACGAGGTGGTCCCTTATTCCTAAGGCAACCATTGAAGTGTTTCCACACTTTCACCTTCCTTATAATGTTCAGTTGTCTGAAATCCAACCTTTGGAAGTTGCTTTCTCAGTCATATTCAAGGTCAGTTGATAGTGATACAAGATATTAAAACACTTAAACAGTAGAAATCCAAAAGATTCAGTCATAGAGAATGAGTTTCCACTGAATCAACACTACCATAGGCTTGCTTATGTTCTCGCTCTCCACAGTTATTGTGACATATCTCACAGATCAATAGGTCTTGCTTAGGGTTATAACTTGGTCTGGCTAAAGGAAGGAAAAATTTAGAGAATGAGTTCCAAGATTAAAATCCATATTCAAAAAGGAATAGGTGTAATCGTTTACAATTTGTAAACAACTTTTTTTCTTCTTTTTGGTCCATTCTTCTTCTTCTTCTTTTGAACTTTTTTCTTGTTTGTCGTTCTCTTTTCTCATAACAAGTTTTCTTATTTCTTTTCACTTCTTTTATTTTTTCTCTTTCTGAGTAATTTTCCTTTTCTTTGTTTGTTTCTTTTTCATTCTAACCTACCTTACTTCCTTAGCTTTTGCCTTTCTTCCCTGTACTCTCATACATCACAATTTATGTAATCAATTAATTATCATTTGTTCCTCAATTCAAATCTGAAATTTAATCTCAAATAAGATGAGGATTTATATGGAAAGTGGCTTATTCATCTTCATAGATTTTCAAAGAATAAACAGGCCTAGGCTCAAAAGGGTTTAACTAAGGAATGTCAGCAATGGTTGGCTATTTGGCCATCTAGTTAAAGAAAAAAAACATGTCTCAATCATATCCACAAAATATATCACATACCATTTCAAGCAAGAAACAAAGCAAGTTCTAGAGTCTCTCATACAATGGAATGCACACTCAACAAAAAAAATTTGTATAGGCTCAAGACTTCACGGCTATGAATGCACAGTAGTTTTCCTGTTCTTTATATCAATAATTCCATCACCAAAGAAAATATTAGATGAATCATGTCACTTATTGCAATGATGCTCATTATCAAAAAATTATGTAAGCACATCATCATGCTCTAAATCAAATCACTGATCAAATTTCCTACCAATCTTCCATTTATTTGCACTGAGTAAGAAAATTTTTAAAATTTTCACAAAACAATGGCTTGGGGTTTTTCAAAACAAACTAAATATTAAAAATTCAATTCAAAAAGAATTAAGCTAAAGCAAAGGAGAAATGATTTGAGATAGTTCCCTGTTTTAGCCGGATATTCTGTGTATGCTCATGAAGTTCCTCCGGCTTACTCAATTGTGCTTAGATGAAATGCGCGTTTCCCATTCCCAGATTTAAATGTTGCTGTCCTCAGCAACAGATTTGAATCTAAAAAGAAAACGCATCGAGAAATAAAAACAATCAGTCGCTCTCTTGTTGTTTGTTCCCTTTTCTTCACCTGTAAAATTCACTCAATGATAGTCATTAATCTCAACACCTTCTCCTATCTTTTTGTATTTTTTCATTATTTAATTCAAAGTAAAAATAACTAAAATAGTGAAATTAAAATAAAACAGTAAAGTATGGGTTTGCCTACCCATTAGCGCTTGTTTAACGTCATGAGCCTGACGTACCTGATTTACTTTCATGGTGGCTCAAAGCATGAGCTTGGTGATGACCAAGCTCCATCGTTCAGAAATTGTGTCCTCCCATATTGCTCTTGTGCATATAAGTGAGATGGAGTAGCCTCAAGAACTTTGAATTTGGCATTTATATGCTTTCCCTTGCTCTTAGGCTTCTCCATTTTAACCTTTAGCTTACTTTCTTGAGAAGGCTCCTCATTGTGTTCTTCTTCTCTTTTCTTTTCACCAATATAGTATACTTGACATTCCGGTTGAGCTACAGATGAGGGGATTTCTTTGTCAAAGAATTTGAATACTGTTTGCTCTTAATCTACCTGTAAGATCAGCTCACTTTTAAGTATATCAATCAGTGCTCCTAAGGTTGCCAAGAAGGGTCTTCCAAAAATCATAGGAATAGTGGCATCTTCTTCAATGTCAAGGATGACAAAATCAACAGGAATGATGAACTTGTCAACCTTAACCAATATATCCTCAATGATGCCATAAGCTTGCTTTGAAGAGCGGTCAGCCAATTGTACTATTGTTCTTGTGGGCTTCACTTCAGTAATCCCCAGTTTCTTTATCATAGAGAGTGGCATGACATTGATGCTAGCTCCAAGATCACATAAGACGTTGTCCACTTCCACTTTTCCTATAGTGCATGGAATGCTGAAGCTCCCTAGATCCTTGACTTTGGTGGGTAACTTCTTTTGGATGATAACATTACATTCCTCCGTCCGATTCACCGTCTCACATTCCCGCAACTTACGCTTCCTTGATAACATATCCTTCATGAATCCTGCATAGTTGAGCATGTTCTCTAAAGTTTCAGCAAAATGAATGTTGATCTGCAACCTCCTGAATATGTCTAGAAACTTTGAATACTGCTGCTTCTGAATCTCTTTCTTTAATCTCTGAGGATAAGAAATTCGAGCATATGGGGAGAGATTTAAGGGCTTGTCTTGCCTTTCTAAAGCTTTCTTCTTCTCCCACTTAAACAGTTTCCTTTCAACTTTTTCAGGATTGCTCTTATAAACTTCAATAATATCCTTTGCCTTTTCTTTATTCTTTTCTTCAACTGATACCTCCACATCTCTCTCAGTTTCTTCGGGTTGCTTCTCTATAGGCTGAATCATTGTCCCACTTCTTTTGGTAATTGCATTACAGTGCTCTCTAGGATTAATGACAGTGTCTCCCGGGAAGGTACACTTAGCTCTCTCAGCAAATTGCATTGACAATTGGCCAATCTGAGTTTCCAAATTCCTGATATAAGCTTCTTGGTTCCGGAATGAAGCTCTTTTTTCATCTCTTAAGGCATTTTCATTTTGAATATAGTCTAAGGTGGTCTTGGATAGCTGTGCAAAGGCTTTCTCCCACTCTGAGGTGTTACCTTGTGGTGGGGGCTGTTGTTGTACTGGTGGAGGAAGATTCAGCTGATGATTTGATTTGTAACTAAACCCTGGGTGTTGGTTTTGATTTTTTTTCACCCTGGATTGTAGTTATTTCCTAACTAGTTCCTCCCCGGATCATTCTGGTTCTTCTGATCGTACCAGAGTCCGTTTACTTCAGCAGTTTCAGGTGCTCTCATCAAATCATATTCTTCTGTAGCATGAGCACTTGCACATATTCCACACCTAACTGGAGCAGTATTGACTGAAGATATAACACCTCGCGTTTCTAAGATTAAATATTAAAATATTAAATGAGAATTAAAGAGAAGGATTAGTGAAAATCCTGAAAGTAAAGCCAAAATACAAAGAAAGTGCAAAGCGGTAATTAGCCAACTCGCAACCCTAGGAAGATAAAAATTGATTAGAAGGTCTCAGATGGTAAAAATAACACTGAAAATGGATTCAGAACGAAAAATTGAATGGTTAGGCAAGTTTCAGAAAAATCAGTGAATAGTGTTTTTACCGAGTAAAAATACTGCGGTACAATTGCACCGTAAAACGTGCCGATTGAGTTTTGAGCTCTAAGTTTGAAAATAAGTTATAAATGATTCATAGAGCTAGGAAATATGATTTTTGATGAAATTTGATGGAAATAAGTTAGTTTGGGGAGAAACAGCATTTTCCCCGAATTACCGGAAAACTTCGGATTCATCTGATCAAGTATAATTAAAGGACAATGGTTAATGTTAGAAATTAGAGTTTCGAAATAGGTTTTGAATTTGTGGACGTTTAGTGGAATCAGAGGGAAATTCGGATTAGTTTTAAATCGCGTGAGGTGGCGGTGGGACCCACCTCACTTAAAATCACTTAAGCCACCTAAGCTCCACTATTGATGGTTTAATTGTTGGATTGATTTCATGAACCCTAAAGGAGGATTTTGTGATTTGTGTTGTTAGAGAGCTCTAATGCAAAATGTGTATTAGATGATAATGTCTTAGAATGATGTGTTAGAGCTAGAAATGCAATGAAAATTATTGGTGAAAAATATGGTTTTGTAACTTAGAAAATTTTGAAGTTGTCATGACTTTGAGTTTTGAAAATGTGTAGAATTGTATTGGTGAGTTGTTGTATGATTATATGTTGATACAATGGGATTGTATGAGGTGTGGAGTGGTTAAAATTGAGAGAAAATCCTTGGGAATTGCATATTTTACAATTTGGCCATTTAGGGAATTTTAGAAATTTGATGTTGTTGTTATTGCTTGGATGATGTATCATGTATTAAATGGTATTTAGATGGGTTGTGTGGTGGTTGAAAAGTGGAAGAATCAATGAAAATTATTTAAAGGTGTTAAATGCCATAAAGGATCCTAGAGTAAAATATTAGGCAAAACGTTGTTTAAAAGACGTAAAGTGAAAAACGACACTTGGTATGGTCTTTTGGCAACCTAAGGAGGTATAATAAAATGAGAAAGAAAATTTAGAAGAATAAATTGTGAAATAAGCCTAAGAAGGCCGAACCTACAAGGTGTAGGGGTGATTTTTGGTGTTTTTCGTATTTTGATCGAATTTTCGTGTACTGATGATTCGTAGATGGTGTTGTAGGTTGTCGTACGTCGATTTGAACCCCGAACCGTGAGTCGGTGGATTGCCCTTGGTCCTGGACCTTGTGGGATTGAGGCATTCTGTTGAGTAGCGAGCTCAGAGAGTATATTCTGTGGAGCTAAGTGAAGAGGCTCATTGAGGTAACCTCTTGGTACTGTGGCTTGATCCCCTTGTGTGTTCCACCATGCCCGTTAAGAGTGATGGTAGGAAATGTATATGAATAATGTAGAATGACATGAACAAGCATTGAGTATTTATGAGGGTACATATGTACCGAGTCTCTGGCCAGTAGACAGTTTTTGCCTTCGGGCATTTCGGACTTCCACTGGATAGGTCTCCGAGAGGGAGTTCCAGTTGACCCAGGGTCGTGGTGTGTGATCCAGATAGGAGCACACTAGGAAGTGTCGGGTGTATGCGGATGGGAGGGGTACCTTGGTTGGATGTTCTAGGAACACGCCTTGGATGAGACCCATAGGCTTATGTGCTGAGGACGTTGTGTGGTATTGGTAACTATCATTCCCGCTTCGTCGTATTTTGTATTCCTATATTCCCCAGTTTCTCTAAATCCCTTGCTTGATCCTGTTTTGAAAAGAGGTTATTTAATATTATTTATATGCATCGAAGTGAGCCATTGGGCGGAGTTTTCTCCAGAACCTCTAGGTTACTGAGATATATTCGTATATGTCACCCCGTCTTGGGGGCTTTATTTCAGGAGGTAGCAGTGGTACGGGAGCGGCGGGCAAGAAGCCCGTAGGATGAGTCATTGGAGGACTTGCACTTTTGCATTTTGATGGCCATTTGGCCTAGGCTAGACTTAGGGCATGAACATTCCATATGTATGTAGGATGAGTTTCATAGTCATATTTGTTCATTTCATTTTGCCTAAGTCTAGTTAGTTGTATATGTCATTTGAAGTTCATGTTTCAAGTTGTAAATTAAAGTTCATGTTTCAAGTTGTAAATTAAAGTGCATGTTTCAAGTTGTAATTTAAAGTCAAGGAATCGTAAGTTGTAATATGTTGTAATTGCACTTGGATACTTAACGTAATATGATGGAAGGGCTTTATGCCTATTTTAGGATTATGGATATGTGAATGCCTAGAAAATGCATGTAAATGGACTTGGATGATTGAAACGTATTAAGTATTAATCAAGTGAGCAGTATGATATACATTGAGTAATAACTATAAACTGAGTTAGGTTGTAAGTGCCCCAAGGCATTGTTGTTCCTTGTGTGTGCCACCCATTGGTTATTATGTACATTTGAGGCCTTAGATCACATTTGCAAATTGGGGATTTTTTGTAAAAACAAAGGAAACTCTAGCGAATTTTCTGTAGAATTGGCTGAATTTAGGTGAACTTCGAGAGAGCATATCTCCCTCCACAGAGGTTTGATAGGGACGTTCCATACGCTATTTTAAAGCTTGAGGTATCCCCTACATTGTGTTAAAATATGAGAAATTTCTGGGTTGCACACAGCACTGTACAAACCTGCGAACACGGACTATCCAGAACGCACCTGTGTAGGGGCTGTTTCTGGCAGTTTTTGGGAATTTTATTCCCGCTTCATTTCTCAGTAAAATTAAGTGTATGATATAACAAATTGAAGCTTGAGGTGTCTAGTTCATGGTATAAAAATTTGAGAGCAATTGAGTGAGTGGTTTCTCTGCAGTAATTCGTGGAGTGAAGGATGTTGGGAGCTGTTTTGGGGTTGGTTGGCAGTTTTGCTTGTCCAACTTCAAACGGCGATATCCGGAGCAAACGAGATCAAAATGACTCGTGTGATGTTTCATTGGAAAGGTATTTAAGTAAGAAAAAAGATAGCTAAAGAGGAAGGACTGGTTTTGTGCGGTGTGTCCGCAGAAAAATAATAACCGAACCATGTTCGGATGGGTGGAAAACGTAAAATCGAGAAATTAGCTAAGTGGGTTTATGGGAACCCCTTAGTGTCTTGTATTGAGTAAAATAAGATATAAAAATAGTTTAAAAAAATATTCTGCAAGAGTTTACAGTTATGGTCACAGCTATTAATTATTACGCTTTTTATTGTTTTAAATACTCGCGTAATAACGTAAAAAGCTTACTCGCATTTTTATAAATGAATTGTTGTGATTGTAACTGCGCTTAATATCATAATGAATGTTAACAATACCGGTGTACAACGGGCTGTTACATTTTATGGTATCAGAGCAGTTTTATTAGGGAACTCTGACAGTGTATAGCTGTGTTATGTGCTGCATAGTTGTATGTAGATTCTTATCGATTACTGCATATGTGATTCCTTAGTGTGGGTCTGATCAACCCATTCGTTTGTGTTACATGTGTGGTCATCGTAAGAAACCTGTGTGGCAACCCTGGAGCACCGAATGTAAGTCTTTAGCCTGATGTTGTGGCTGCAGTGTTGACTGCTCCATGGACAAGAGATGGCGTTAAGTAAAATGTGAATATTATAGAACTGAAGGGAAACATACTTAAATGTTTTGTCTGACCTTGTAGATGAAATTTATAAAGTTGTATTATAAGTAAAAATTGTAAACAAACCTCTGGTATGTACGGTATTAGCATAGGTGAATTTTGTAGTACTTTGGATAAAAAATATAAAAATTGAGATGGGTTTATGGTATGAAGATGAGATTGGTAAAAAAATTCTAAGTACATGTGTAGTGTAGTAAAACAATGATGTACAGGTGGACCTGGTGAATTAACTTCATTAAGGTGAGTGACTTAGAACCTGACGAATTATTTGAGAATATGAACAGGTATGCTTAGGTACGAGTTAGAATATGTTATGTTGATTAGAAGTTATAAGTCCCTGATAGGTGGTGTACACTTGAATGAATTGGGATGGTTAATGTAGAGAAACAAATGGAATATTTGATGTCTAATCCTAAGGAATTGAAAACTTGAAATTATTATGTTAGTGAAGTGTTAATTTGAGAGATTTTGAAAGAGGGAATTGAAATCCATAAGGGTATAGTAATGATTAATTATAGGGAGATGAACTGACTATGTATTATGTATATAGGAGAGAAGTTGAGAGAATCACCATGGATGGCATAAGGTAAATGTACAATAAAGCCACTATTGTAGTTAATGAACGTCGATTCAAATTGAAAGACTTGGCGACGATAAAATGGATAGGATGGTTGAATCATATAATCATATGTAAGATGGTAATGAAAATTGTAAAGAAATTATGATCTAGTGATCTGTATATATATACTATTAATAGTAGTGTGCTTGTGAAATCATTTGGTATTTGATGTGGATTGATAGGCGGAGTGGAGGTATTTTCAATGTAATGAATATTCTACAACCACCAAGGGTGGAAGTGAGCAGGAAAAATGATGGGTTGCTCTACAATATTGAGTATAGGTTTATGTGAGCCGTAGCAGACAATGGATTAGAACGGTGACAGGATTTTGTGAGTTATTGTTGTACAACAACAAAGTGAGATGGTATGATTAGTGTATGAACTAAGGTGCATAAAGTGTGGAATTATGTAGTTAGCGAAAGAACTAAGATGTAAAAATGAAAATGATAAGATTAGCTAATGAGCTGAGGTAATTGTCAGTGCAAGGACTGACGTGTAAATTCAGTGCAAGAACTGATTTATAATTATCAGTGTAAGGGCTGATGAACAATTATTAGTGCAAGGACTGTTGGGTTTAGAAAACCCCTG